TTTTTTATAATAAACTAAAATTATGATTATTTGCAAATAAAAAAAAGTAAAAATATATATATATAAATAAAAGGTATCGATAGATACCTGATAAAGGAAAAAAAACTACCTGATATACAGAGATATACTGTGTTCGATATATAGGGATATACTATGGCCAATTTATAAAAGATATGTACCTGATAAAAAAAATAAATAAAATTTGATGCCCGATATATGAATGATGAATTTGAATAAAATGTCAAAATATTAATGTTCAATATGAAACCAATATGGATCCAATAAGTGCCCGAACTTCTACATTTCAACCTCACCAATTGGGTACCTGATATATTACATAATTGTTAATATTGAACACCTGTCGTACACCTATCAGATTCCTAATAGGCATACAATAGGTATCTGATATTCCCTATTTTGACCAGTGATAACTAGAATATTTTAAAAATTAAAATTAGTATAAAAAATTTTTGATATTGAAAAAAGTATTAATAATTAATTTAAACAATATAGAAGATTAAATAAATTGGTACCCTTAAAAATTTATATATTTGAAAGTACCAAAATTTAGCACTAGCATATATAGTTAGAATGTTTTAAAATTTAAAATTAATATAAAAAAAGCATATTGAATTTTTGATATTAAAATTTGATTTTAAAAATTAATTTAAATATTATATAGATATGCATAATTTTTAGTATCAAAAAAAAATATATATATTGAAAATGATGCTTAAATCAAATTTGGAGTATGTATTGCTCATGGATGCCAAAATTTTGTAACAGGATTGGTTTTTTTTTCTTCTAGCTTTGCTTATATTAATTTAATTACAATTAAGTAGAATTGTTCTTAAGTATTTGAATATTCAAGTGAATTATTTTTAACTATTATTTTCATAAGGAATCAAGAGTATTCCTTACAACAATGTAAGATTTTTCATTCATTTATTGTTTGCAATTTCATTTTTTATATTAAATATTATCTTTTTTTTAATTGTAGGATGGCTATTACAAAAAATATTTTATACAATAGAAAGAATAAACAAGTTATGTAATCTACATGGAAGTATAATCTTGTATTCAGGAGATTATACATTTTGTCAAAACTATCAAATTGAGTTAGACACAATTAAAATTGAAAATTGGAATTAAGTCAAGCAAAATTTTCATTTTTACATAGTAAATTGATGCAATTATTGAGTCAGATGTAATTAAAAATTGAAAAAATTAGAATTGAGTCAAAGCCTTTTTACTTTTGATGACATGTATACAGGAGATAAATCAGTGAACCAATTCACATAATAAATAACTGTTTGAAGAAAACCTAAGAAAAAAAGAAATTGATATGAATTATACTTGTACCTGAAATTAAATTTCATGTAGTTTTGAAGGACAAAATATGTAATGAGTTATTGTTAACTTTCTTTAATCATTATTGACCCCTCTAATTTTTATTTTTTATTTTATTTAATTGTATTTTAATTAGCATGAGGAAACATTATGTATATGCTATTAATTACACTGATGTATACACTACCAGTTAATTTTTTATAATAATAAAAATTTGAAATATTCAATATGGAAGAAGAAATGGATATTTAATAAACATAAGAAATTTGTAATATATAAATTAATTTATAAAAATTAAAAAAATTTTAAAATCCTAAATCTAACAATCTAATACCTCGAACACTCGCAACTTTTATTAATATTTCTCTATCATCCGAATTCAAAAATTCATCACTTCCCTCATCAACTTCATTATTCTCAATTCCACCACCAATATCAACACCGCCAATACCAATATCATTAATATTATTTTTCTTTCCTCTCAATAATCTAACAACTTTATCTTCATCCATTTCTAATACTTTTACGGCCATAAATAATTCTCTAGTTGGTAAAATATCTAATGCACTTAATACATTTGTTAAATATCCTAAATCAGTTAATAATTGTTGATTACCATGTGATGATAATTGTGGTATCGCTAATATTCCTTCTAATAAAGCATGCATGGTTCCTCTTGCTACTGAAGTTATCCATGCGTGAGTAACTTCTTCAGTTGATATTTCTTCTTCTTGATCTATTAATTGTGAGGAGGAAGGTGTAATTGTAGTTATTGTCGTTGTTATACTTTTATCTTCATTCGCTATACCATCTTCATTTACAATAGTAATTGAAGATAAACCTTCAGCATCTAAAGGATCTTTTAATATATTAGATGAAGATGAAGATGTGGTGATGTCCGTTTGCATAGGTATTGCATCACTATAAGGTAATGATTTAATAGAAAATGCTAAAGATTTATCATCTGCATAAACTTCAAATTGTTGTGGTAAAGTTAATAAATGTTCCCCAACTCTCGTGATATATTCTGATGGTGATAAACTAAATGTTGGTATTTCCAAATTAAATGGAGATACTTGAGCAAGTTCAGCTGTTGCTTTCCATACTTCCATCATTGGAAGATTAACTAAATGTTTTACTATCGGTAAAAATATTGTATCATAAACAAATCGTTGACTAGATCTTATAAAATTTCCAATTGATCTTTTTGATGGTTCTAACAATTCTCGTGATTCTAAATTAGATAATAATTCATATAATTGATAACTATTTAAAGGTGATTGTTTCAAAAGAAGAATTGATGATTGTGTACCAATTGATAAGGTTTTACTTAAATTAGGAATTGTTGATGATTTTCTTTCATACCATTCTAAATCTTCATTAAGTGAATCATCATCTTGATTAATTAATGGTAATACAGTTGATAATATGAATTTTACCGTCATCTCAAAATTATTTAATTTATCTGAAGCCAATCGACATGTTGCAAGTAATCTTAAACCTATTTGAAAATTAGACCAATCTTCTTGTTGTAATCTATCTTGATCAAAATCAAAATAATCTCGATTCATAGATGTGAAATTTGTTGTTTGAGTATTTTCTTTTAATCCACAATCTATTCTTAATTGATCTAATAAAGATTGATATTCTTTAATAAATTCCGCAAAATAATAATTAAGTACATCGACAAGTCCAACCCCCGCAAATCCATGAGTAAGTGTCATGCACCTTTGTAATGCACTTTCTGCCATTGAAAATATTTTTCCAATATTATCAGCCATAACTCCTTCTAAATCTAACGATCCACCATTTCGTTTTTCTTGAATAATTCGCTTTAATAAATTAATTAAATAATTCTTCTCAAATTCCGCATAATCATGTTGATATTCTGAGAAATTTTCAAATAATACTTGTCCCCATGTGACAATAATCACTTTTGGTATAAATTTAATGCTTCCATCATTATTACTATTACTTTTATTATTACTTATCGAATTTCTTTTCCGGGTGAAATTAATGGGATTAATGGGATTTATGGGATTAATTTGATTATTGGAATTATTGGGATTAAATAAAACTCTTTCTATTTGTCTTCCAAAATTTTCACTAACAATAAAAGCATTAATTATTTCAGGTAAACATTGTTCATGATAATGTTCTACTAAACCTGCTAATCGAACTCCCAAAGATGGTTTCAAAGAATTAAAAATATTTTCAATTAATGAAATTATAGTTTCATTAGCATCTGGAAATATATTACCACACCAAGTATACTCTTCATTAAGTACCACAAATAATTCGTGAAAAAATTCTTGCAAGAATTCTATAAATTTCTTTTGAATAACTGTTGTTGGTGATGTTGGACCAACTTCTGTCATGGTCGTTGTCGTTGTCATCGTTGTAGTCGTCGTTGTTGTCGTTGTTGCTGCAGTCACAGGAACTACTGTCGAATTGATATCTATTAGTGAAGCATTTTGCCAAACTTTTACCAACGGAGCTTTTCTTGATCCATAATAATAATTACAAAATTCTTTTTTCCTTCCAATTTGACTAAAAATTGTAAAAAATTTTTGACAGGCGCTGATATCATGTTGACTAAGAGCTGCAACAAGTTGTGGACTAACAGTTGCCTCAAGTTGATTTTGTAATTCTGTAAGTAATTTCCTTCTCTCTTCATATTCTGGAGTATTATGAAATATTACTAAACTTTTTTCCGCTTCTTGTAATCTAATGGCCGCTTTTTGATAATCCTGCGATGCAAATATTGTACTAGCTTCAGCTTCTAAATTACTCCAATTCTCTGCTTCCCTCAATACATCTCTTGATAATTCCATACGAGTTTTTACCAAATCTAAATATTTAAGTCGTTCAATCGCTTTACCTGTATTATTTTCAACATTTCCAAGTGATGATTTTACCAACGCAACACTTTCTTTTAAATTTTCTGAATTTTGTTGTATTATTTGTAGTTCAGTCATGATTGATGGCATATTTTTGACTATATCTTCAATGGTATTTTCTAGTCGATGTGAAACTCCTTGATTTAAATATTGAAGTTTCTCTACAATATCTGATGCATGGTTTTCTAGTATCAATAATTCTCTTTCATTAAATTTGAATTTTTTAGTTTCATCTGGTTCAATTGTATTATTATTATCTTTTTGACCTGAAGAAGGAAATGTATTGGAATTCAAATTGATACTTGATAACGCTCCGTTTATCCATTCTTTTACATTAAAATCTTCGGCCAAAAATGCGGAAAAATCAATAGAATCACTCGATGTAGAATCCTGTACAGCTGACATTTATGAATGAACAAAATTACACGATTTATTTTATTTCGATATTGTAGCACAGATTTTTTTTTAAGGTTAGTGATAAAAAGAATTTTACAAAAATATTACGTAAAAGGATTAATCATATTTTTCCTACTAATGGGCAAGAACAAAAGTAAAGGAAGTATACAGTAGGGGGTGTTTGAGTATACTGAACTATACCTACATTTAGAAATGCATCATCTAACACTACAATAATTTCGCTTTGTAGAGAAGTTATTTCTGGCACGTGATTTTATTAATGTTCCGATTGGCGTCCCCGAGATGACATCGTACTGTGAATATGGTATAATCAAAAGACAATTGTTTGGATTATTTAAAAGAAAACTATGTCATCCCCAAAAAAGAAGTCGCGATATTAATACTTAGATATGACGATTTAAAATTCAATTTTTAAATCATGTGCATGCTTTTTTTTTATGCGCAGTACATTGAATTGACTCTACCGTCAGAAATAGATACTTTAAAAAATTCATTAAATACTCTTGGGTGAAATCTTTAAAGCACAAATATATATATATAGTATGAGTTTGTATTTGAATCAATTTGAAAAATCAATAAAGGAAAAAAAAATAAATTAAAAAGTGAAAGTGTTAATTGTTGAAATTACTTTAGAATGAGAAGTTCCATGCAATGTTTAATTGGTTTGAATATCGTAATCCTATAGTTGTGAAACTCTTAGAAATAATGATCAAGATAAATTTAGTCAGATTCATTTTGAAGGATATTAATAGACGAAGATATCCTTTGCTAGGCATATTATTTTTAAAGTCATCTCTATACATGTCATCTTCTGTTAATTCTTTATTTTTTAAGGATTCAGTTATAATTTCCTTATATTATCAGTTTCATCATGGTCCTTTAGTATCACTAACAGATACTGGGTTATTGTTGTTGTAGCTGGGAGTTATAGAAATATTCAAATCAAGATATAGAATCGTTATAAATTTCCTCCTTTCATTGTTTTGCAATTTAAAATTTCTCATGTTGTCCTAAGTTGCTCGGGAGTTCAAAGCCCATACAAATTTCAAAGGTTTTTTAGAATTTTGTTTTATTTATTAATTGGGCATGGACAATCATTATCGGTTACGCATAAATAATTGAATAGTTACATTAAAAATAATTAACATAAAAGATATCTTTATTATTATTTCGATATGCTCTATACACTTGAACAAAATAATAATTTATATAAGTTCTTCGTGTTATAAAAATACGGAAACATATTATGTCAGTAATTCTAAATTTAAATTATACAAGTTTATTAAATAATATAATTAACATTTTCTATATTGGCTTCAAATTAAATGTGGAGAATGATTCTAATATATTATAAATCGTTGAGAAACATAGACCAAGCATTGTCGATTCAAATAATCGGTGATGCTTTTAATAATAAAAAATTGCAATTAAGCAATATACCATCCGCAGCCTTTCTATTTAAAATGCACTAAAGCATTTGAAATATTATCAGAAAATTAAAATCCTTCTCCATCGAAACCAACAAATCCCTATGTACCATGGATTTAAATAAAAAAAAAAAAAAATGATTTTTTTTTTTAAAAAAAAAGAAACAATAATGAACAATAATAAATCTTTACATACTGTCAATAAAAACACAGGGAAATATGCTTTCTTTTCGATCAGCGAGCACCAATTCCAGGCACTTGTTAATCGTCCATCGATACAACTTCCGGCATCAAAGAAATTGTCTGCACCACTGCCATCAAAAGCAAAACGGAAAAAATCAGCGCAAATACCTTTTTTGAGTTCTTCAACACTTCCGAAAGTATCTTCTATGTAGCGACGAATTCCAGTATTACCATTTGTTAAGGGTTGAATACCCTCAAGACATATCAGTATTGGATTCAGTATTCGCGATACTTGATTGTACTATATTAAGGAGTAGTAAAAATTTCGAAGATAATTATTATCAAACGTTGCTTGAACGAGCCACCTTAATAAATAATTTAAGAATACCTTATCAATGAACATCAACGCATTAGGAACATTCTTGTCCCCTAAATGAATGACGGAACTTCCAATCCAATATCCCGCTGATTTCTGAGCACGGTGTAGAATAGAATGCATGACGTGCGAAACTGAAGGACAACGTTGCATTCTGTTCAAACCTTGTCCAGTATCTTTTAGTCGGTATGGATTATTTTCTGATAATAAGTCTTGATCTGCCAAAAACCAGAGTTTAAACATTTCATTCTGAATTTCACGCCAAAGTGACATGGTTTGATTTCTAGGATTTCAAAGTATGTTAAATTAACGTAGGAAACTTTTCGTTACAAAAATATAAAGAAATGTGGACTTCAAAAAAACTTACGCATAGAAAAATTGCGTCTCATGATCATGTGAGAGGCGTGCGCCGCCTTTTCCAGAACGAATGGCCAAAGAATAACCAGATTCAATCTTTGAAGGGTTAAAATAGGTTGTTAAATTTTTAAGCATTTTGATACAACAATCACTAAAATAATAAACTTTGGTTAATATAATTATTTTTCTGCTTAAGAAATAATATATACATATATATTTTCATATTTACCGATTTGACCTCAAATATGCATGATTATCACCAATACTATACAAGCACTGTTTGATTTCTTCCGGACTTATCTTATGATTGCTAAAATGATTACTAATTAATTCAATTGCTCTTTCTTTTTTTCGAATTTCATGATTAATTTGTGATCGACTTTTTCCATCTGGAATAATTTCTTGCACAGCATCGGGAATTAATTGATGATGAAGAATTTTGAGAACATCCTGTTTTTCTAGGAAACTGTAGACAGTTTTAATGGGTATAACCAAATCTAACTGTAGCAAATCTTTAACTTCTGGAATAATGGAGTCCTAAATTTTTTTAAGATTTTGTCAGTTATAATAATAATTCGTAAAAACAACTTTACAACTAGATTTCTTACCATAAGCAGGTACATTAACTTGCCATATGCATCTCTCATTTTTTCAGGGTTCATAATTTTATGCCGTCTTCCTATTTCAAATATTGTTTGATAAAAGTCTTCGTTGTCTTCAAACGATTTATTTTTGAATAGTTCTTGGCCTTTATTGTAATCGCTAAATGATGTAACGTAGATCTCGTATTAAATACATATACAGGATAAATTTAATCACCAAAAGTTATAAAAAAAAGATCTTTGTTACCTTGCTAACTAAAAAAAGGGGAGGAATAGAGCATTTCAAAGTATATATATTAATTTCATGTTTATATTAAAATAATAACAATTCAATACTTACGAAAAGGCCGGACAAAATGCTACATAAATCCTTAATTTGATAAACAATTCGATTTGTTTTAGAACTGTATGATATAATATCAATTTTGTCCGTGTATTCTATTAAAAAAAGGGTTGTCAATATTTATTTTGATAAGCAATAAATTTGTCAAGAAAAGTTACCTGATACATTTAACGCCGCTTCTAATCTGTGTTGACCAATAATTTTCATGAATAAATTGAGAATCTTATTAGTAAAGGATTACAATATCAAGAGTTAGTTATCATATCTTTGAAATGATAATTTAAAAATTCAGATATTTACAATCTTAAACGTTTCCTTTCATCCGTGTTCAGACGTAGTGGTATATATTTAGCGCGCTCCTCAATCCAATCGCCGTAAGATGAACTCCCACTGGAAATAAAAATTGGTGTGGGTGCTGGTTCGGTATCAAATTCATTTGATACCTGTTTAGATTCCTGTTTATATAAATTTTATTAAAATTTGATTGAAATGATTTTACTAAATAATATAGATTAATAGATACCATATTTACTTTTTGATTTATGTCACTTTTGGAACCATTAGAACTATTGGAAATATTGGGATCATCGGATGCCTTCTGTGCAATAATTTCTTGTTTGCTGTTATCTTGTAAGTCGTTTGTTTCTCCTTTAAGTGGACGATGAATATGTTCTAGACGACTTCCGGTTCGATGAATCATGGAAAAGCACACCTCGCAAAAATCTTCTTTGCATTGCTCACAAAAGAACGATGCTTCCTTATAGTGGCATAAAAAAAATAAGGTTATTGTTAATGCAGAGAATTGAATTCAGTAATGAAACATTAACATTATAATTCTTACCTGATCTCGACATTCTACACATAATCCCTCGAGCATAGGTGCAGAAGGTAACTCATCCTCTTCTTCTGACATTGAATCTTCTTCAATAATATTACTTTTATCAGAATGTAAAATAGCATCAAGCTTTTTTTTTCTTTCTACTTCCTCTGGTTGTTCTTCAGAAGATTCTCGATGCGTTTCTGCCGTTCTTTCTTCCTCAGAATCATGTGTGTTTGTATAATCTGTGCCTTTCATATCTTCTGGCTCGTTAAAGGACATACTTTTATTATCGCCTACTGAGTCGTTATATTCTTGACGCGTTTCTTTCATTTCTTCTTCATCCTCTACCTCTACTGAGTCGTTATATTCTTGACGCGTTTTTTTAGATATCACGGTATGATCTGCCATTTCTTCTTCATCCTCTACCCCTACTGAGTCGTTATATTGACGGGTTTTTTTAGATATCACGGTATGATCTGCCATTTCTTCTCTATGCTCTGCTCCTTCCTCACCCTCCTTAGAATCATTTTGCGTATTTATAGTATTTATTTCATTTGTATCTTTCTCATTTTCCGACTCGCTAACACTTTTATTGTCAACTACTGAGTCACTGTCATTAGTAATGAATTTTTCAAATCCTTCTGAAATTTCAGCGTCTTCACTGGATCCTTTGGCTTCTGTATCGTCTACTTCCATAGAACATATCGTGGCATTTTCTGACTCTGAACTGTTATCTTTATTGATTTCTTCATTTTCTGTATCCATAGAATTTACTGTTGAACATGATTTGTTGATTATACCATTTTCCGAAAAAACCACCGAATTGTTATCTTTGTTTTCTGTACCTTCTGCCTCATTAGAAATTTCCATTAAACTTGAATTTGATTTGTTGACCATGCCATTTTTCGAAACAACCCCTGAATTGTTATCTTTGTTTTCTGTACTTTCTGCTACGTCTCTAGAAATTTCCATTAAACTTGAACTTGATCTGTTGATCATAACAATTTTCGGGGAAACCCCTGAATTGTTATCTGTACCTTCTACGTCTCTCGAAATTTCCATAAAATTTGAACTTGATTGGTTGATTATAACATTTTCCGAAACAACCACTGAATTGTTATCTTTTTTTTCTGTACTATCTGCTACGTCTCTAGAAATTTCCATTAAACTTGAATTTGATTTGTTGATTATAATATTTTTCGAAACAACCCCTGAATCGTTATCTATGTTTTCTGTACTATCTGCCACATCTCTAGAAATTTCCATTAAACTTGAACTTGATTTGTTGATCGCAACAATTTCCGAAGCAACCCCTGAATTATTATCTTTGTTTTCTGTACTTTCTGTTACGTCTCTAGAAATTTCCATAAAATTTGAACTTGATTCGTTAACATTTTCCGGAACAACTCCGGAATTGTTATCTTTGTTTTCTTTACCTTCTGCTTCGCCTCTAGAAATTTCCATTGAACTTGGTTTGTTGATTATAACTTTACCCGAAACAATCTCGTCTTTATCTGGATATTGTTTATCCCTCATTATTGAATCGGTATCGATCTCATCGTTTTTCTCATCTGTGTCTGTATATTGTTCCATACCAATTATTGCTGAATTGGAAGCATTTTGATCAGAATGCGAATTCTCATTTTCAGCATCAATACCCTCAACACATTCAGTAGTGTTTGAAGTTTCTTGCTCTTTAGGTTGCATTGCCAACAGAAATACAGAAATAAAGATAAAATTGTAAAAATTTTTTAGAAGCCACAATAAAAAATTTTCCTGATTTAGTTTCGATGAATCACAATCAAAATAAATGTGTAATACGTCATATCTATCTATTCTGAATCGGGGCAAGATAAACTCACGCATCGTACAGGATTTCTTTATAAAGTAAAAGATCAGTCCGGAATTTTCACAAACACTCCGAAATATTTTATCCCATTTATTCCAATTTTAGAGAACCTCACTAATACATTACTGATACATTGATGAACTTTATTTTTATGTAATTAATTAATACATCTCAAAACTCTGAATAGTTTCAAGTTTTAATTCTATTTTCGGAATTACGACAAAAAAAAATAATTTTCTTAACTATAGTACAACACTTTTTTTGAAATAAATGATAGACATGCAGATACATGTAAATGTTTTTTTTTTTTAAAAAAAAAGGGGGGTCTAGTTCACGAGATTTTGGAACGTCTTCCGCGATTTCTGGAAGTTGAACGCGATCGACTCCTGTATGATCTTCTTTGGTCCCTGGTATCCCTAGATAACGATCTTGATCGACTACGATATGATTTCCTTCTGTCCCTATCCCAATCCTTATCCCTATCCCTATCCCGATCTCGGTCTCGTGATCGAGATCTGGACCTATATTTTCTATTGTCTCGGGAGATTGATCGATCTCTTGAATTCGATCTGCTACGATATGATCGACGTTCCGAGCGATCACGATAATATGGTGACCGTGACCGAGACCGAGACCGAGAACGTCTGTGAGAATGATATCTTTGTTGTTTGTTCATATTGTTATTATTATTATTTCTTTCATCCTTTGAAGTTTCATCATCCCCAATGATATCATCCCATGCAGCCCAACTTTTAAAGGCCATAAAATTTTTTTAAAAGGTGGCAATCCAATTATTGGAATTATTGGTAAATTGATAAAATTGGTAAAATTTGACACGAAAGAAATTTGAATTAATAGATTAAAGTCAGATAAAAATGTTAATGCCATCACTTTGTGCAATGCAATAATTGTGAACAAATGAAAGTCAATTAGGAAGACCAGTCACCGATCATCGCCATCCCCATCTTCGTCGTCATCATCGAGTTGGTTACGGTTACGGTTACGGTTACGGTTATCCTCGCGCCCTTCTGCTTCTTGATATAAATTTCGATTCCTCCTGCTACTTCCATAGTTATTGTTACTTGCGCTTCTGTTTTTTTTCCTTTTCCTTCCAAATTCATCGTATTCGTCATCCTTTTCAGCATCCCTTGACTTTTTATACTCAACTACCTCATCTCGTTCCATAAATCCACCCCCGCGACCTTCTCGTGAACCCATTGAAGTTTCTGAACCAGGTTTGGGGGTTTTACATTGATTACATTCCGTTCGCCTTGCCCAATTAATATTGGAACAACTAATTTATATTATAGAAGTTCAAAAGAATCTTAAATGCATAACAATACAAAAACAATGAAATAATTAAAATATAATAAAAAAAAGAAAATAATAAATACTTACATGGGACACTTCCAGTCTTTCTCAGAGAATAGCCCCTGTTATACAAATAAAAAAAAAGAGTTTGAGTATTACCAACCACCAATATGCAAGTATTAGACAATAACTTACCCCATAGCGATTTGCAAATTCCCTTCCAACTTCTCCGACAACACTAGAACTACTTCCATTGTCGTCTTGACGTGGTCTTCTGGAAGAACTTCCAATAGAATAGTCGCGATCGTTACGACTGCTTCCACCCATCTATGGGTAGTGCAATCAAATATTTTATTTTGTTAAATTAAAGTAGTAGCTCTTTAGCTTCTTAGATTAAAGTGGCAAAACCTTTATTATATTATGTAAGTGACACGTATGTGTTACAATACCATATTATAAGAGTTTGTAACATTATGACCATAATGTTTATTATTATTATTATTATTATTATTATTAAAAATTTAAAAGATTTATGTGAGGAGAGTGGGATTCGAACCCACGCCTCTTACGAGACCACGGCCTTAACGTGGCGCCTTGGACCGCTCGGCCATCTCCCCGAATTTGTATTTAAGTTACTAAGAAATATTCTTTTAAAATGTAATTTCTACATTCAAAAGGAAACTTAACACATGACTAGATGACAATCTCATAATATTTCATAATGATCTTATTTTAAAGTTTAATGTAATTCCCGTTGACAATAAAAGTTCGTTCATAAGAAAAGTTCATTAATTTTTCTCAAATAGGCCACTAATTTTTCTCAAATAGGCCACTAGGGTAAATAAGCAAATTAAAATTCTGTAATATCGGAATTCTGTAATATCAGGATATCATGTGATTAACTAACCATATGACCGTGTTGACATTAACCAATAAAATCTAGGTAAGATCAATATCAGAGGGAAAACAACAATTTAGATTTGGTATTGATTTCTTTCCAAAGGTAAAAAAAAAAAACGCGTTAAATATTTATAAAGGCTTGTGAAAATGTTTATTTATATTGCAACTCCGGCTGAAGCCGCCAATGATAAATTGAAGATTCAGTGTGGTCCGACTGATGATATTAAAATTATTAGAGAGTTGATTTTTAAACATTTTGGTAAAAAGTTTTCGCCTAAATGTCAAAGGTTAATATTTGGTGGAAAGCAACTCGAAGATGGACATACTCTATTTCATTATAATATTAAGAATACTAATACAGTACAACTGTTTGGAAAAATAAATCGCGACCTTGAAAAAGTTTTACCTGACGCGTCTCCTGGTGAACAACACGTCGTGTCAGTAGTAATACATCAACAAAAAACTGATGCTAACGATGTTAATGAAATGGATTTAGATGCGCCACAAATTGAAGATACTATTCAAGAATCAGTTGCGTCAGTTAATGATGATGCACGAAAAGAGACCGTTGAACTTGATCGTGATATTAACATGCAAGATAGTGTTAATGATGGAGCCGAAGATTATGTTTGTGAAATGTGTAATAATAATTCTCGAAAAAAATGTAAAAATTGTGGGTGTAGTATTTGTGGTGGAAAAGATGATGAAGCACATATGATAGTTTGTGATGAGTGTCAATATTATTTCCATTTTGCATGTTTAAATCCTCCTCTCACAAATTTACCGGATGAAGAATATTGGTACTGTCCTGATTGTAAACATCAGGATAATGATATTGTCTTGGCTGGTCAAAGGTTAGACTTAAAAAAGTCTAAAAAGTCAAAGATGCCATCTGCGTTCCAAACTAAAAGTTGGGGTGGTGGAATGGCATGTGTTGGTTTATCAAAAAGATGTGAAATAGTAGATCCCGATTACTTTGGAGCTATTCCAGGAATTCCAGTTGGATCATCATGGAAATATAGAATTAATTGTTCAGAGGCTGGAGTTCATCGACCTCCTGTTGCTGGAATCGCGGGGAAATCTAGTGTTGGATCAGTATCGATTGTGCTCAGCGGTGGTTATCCCGAAGATACGGATAACGGTTCCGAATTTATATATACAGGTTCCGGTGGTAGGGACCTTAAAACTGGTAATAAGAGGACCGCTGAACAATCATCAGATCAAGAACTTACCAAAACTAACTTGGCTCTTGCGGTATGCTGTGACGCAAAAGTCAATGATATAAAAGGGGCAGTAGCTAAAGACTGGAAAAAAGGAAAACCAATTCGAGTATGCCGGAGTGATAAATTAAAAAAGCATAATCCAAAATTTGCACCTGATGAAGGTATTCGTTATGATGGACTGTATAAAGTCGTCCGGTACTGGCCAGAAAAGGGAAAATCTGGATTCATCGTGTGGCGTTATGAAATGCGACGTGACGACGACGAACCTGCTCCTTGGTCACCGGAAGGGAAGAAACGTATTGCCGAATTAGGATTAACTATGTATGTCCCCGATGAATTAAAGGATGAAGAATCAAAGAAACGTAAATCTGGAGAAGGAGGATCATCTAATAAGAAAGCAAAGAAAACGAAAACCTATAAGCCTTCAAGTACGTTAGCGAAACTCATCGCAAAAGACAAAAAAAATGCACGTGCGTGGAAAATTGTCATGGGAAAGGATTGTGATACATTAGCGGAATTTATTTCTTCCATTGAGGAAGAATTCAAGTGTCCAGTTTGTATAGAATTGGTCCAAAATCCAGTCACGACCCCGTGTTCACATAATTATTGTTTCGGTTGTCTTGAGCTATCTGCTCAAAACTTTGGTAAAAAATGTGTGCAATGTCGTGAAGAATTTGGTTCTAAGATATTTGGAATTAATGATGATTTGGTTGCAGCATTACAGGAAGTTATTCCTACTTACAATCAGAAAGGCAAGGGAAAGGTTTACTAATAATAAGAGTTTTTGGTTAGTTTATGATGTTAATAAATGACCAAAGGAAATTTTTAAGGATTAATATTCAGTTTACAATATTACTGTGTTTCGTTAGTATATTGTTTATATCGCTATACATGCTAATTGGTTTCTGTAAAGAATTTTTTTTAGATCTTCACATTAATTATGTCAATTACAATAAATAAAAGATAATTTTTTTATATAATTAATGTAATCCCATGATTCTAATTTGAAGACTTCATTATAAATTGGCGGAGAATGTAATGACTAATTAATAATTTTAATGATTTGTTATTCTATTTAGATATTTATTTATAGTAAGCACCTGCGTCTAAAAATATATAAATATTCATTCTAAACCTAATTCCTAAAAAGTATGGATGCACTCGGTCGATACAAATTGGGCCAAGGAAGATCAGCACAAGTAAATTTATTATCGGACGATGATGATTCTGATTTTTATTGTGAAGATGATTACACAGAGTTAGCCAAAATTGAAAAGAATATCGTTAATTTATGTAAGTTTCAAGAGCAACTTGCACTTATTGGAAAAAAGTTAAAGCTTAGATTTATAACAGATAAAATAGATAATCTAATCATAAGATTTGATTTATTTGATTTATTGATTGACTGAATTTGATTTAATTTATTATTTTTAAGTTTTGAAACACGTAAAATGTGAATTCATGAATATAAATCAGATCCTTGAATCTTATCAAAAGACCTATCCCGAAAAATTCAATTGGGATGAATTCTCGCGGTCATCTGATACAACATTTGAAGAATTTATTGGTGTCACGTGGCCAAAAACCTTCAAATTTAAAACGTGTCCTAAGGATCAAGTAACTTGGATCGGGGTGAACGTACCAGAAGAAATCAATGATTCAAATATTTACTTTGATTTAAATTTTGATGATTTCGATTTAAATTTTATAAACTCCAAAAATACCAAGTCAAATAAAGCCACAAATTTTAATCGTATCACATATGACATAAAAAATTGGAATCAATACGACGAAGTGGAAGAAAAAAAGAAAAAACGGGACGCAGAAGTAATACTTTGGAAATTAAAGAATTTAGTAATGAATAAAACAATGATGAATAAGTGTTGTATCGAATTTTTATATCAAATGTTATACGGAATAAGAATTAGATTTCAAATTAAACTTGAGGAATTATTAGAGAACTCAATTAATTGGCGAAAGATTGGAGATATGTATATGATGGTGAAAACGAATGATCAAGAATTTGGTGAATTGTTGAAACAAAAAGGGGATAGATTGGATGACGATAGAATCGATGACTTGAGAAGGGCTTGTTTATCAATTTTGTTGGGTGAGAATTTTGGAGATACCTTCTATTAATAATCTCTCAGAGGCGTTTTGTTATTGAAACGTGAACGTGATAAAAATTCAAAAAAACCCACGCCCTTTTCTTTCTTCCTTGAGAATTTTCTGGTCTTTTAGGAAAATAGAAAAAAATTCTTATTATTCATTATTTGTGGGAAAATTTGTTAATTCATTTCGCTTATTAAAAATTGCTTATTTAAGAAAAGTAATAAAGTATTAACTTAAATTTTTTTTCGCTCTCATTCAAAATATTTAACTCCTCTTCATTCATTATGTTTTTTCTAAAATTTTCGCATATCCTGACGTAAATTATTGTCATGTCCTAAAATATGTATTTCATAAGGTCTGAATTTTCCCAAAGAAAAAATAATTCTTTGCACACATATATAAAGACCAACGATTCTTTGGTTTTTCAGAATCATCAATTCTTTTTTAAACTTCTAATTCTTTTCTTTTTACAAAAAAAAAATGTCCAAAATGATTCAATCCAGTGCTAAAATTAATACTTACTCTGATGATCTCCAAAAAGCAATCAATACTCAAATTAATAACGAAATTACTGTAATTATTACTTCTCGCAGTTCTACGACTTTATAACTGTATTTATTTATGAAGGTTCGATAATAATTGTATATATATATTTTAACAAAAAGGCCAGTCATGAGTATTTCCAGTTAGGTTTCTCCTGCGCTCAAGATGAAAATGCTCTTCATGGATTTGAAGAGTGAGTATTCAAAATTTCGATCGAATTTTTTTTTTTTTTCAAGTCGCAATATTGATTTTCTGACTTTTTTCATTTTTATTTTTATTTTTTTATTATTATCAAGATTTTTCTTAAACTTCGCCTACAAAGTATTCAACATTATTTAATTCTGGAAGTTATTTGACGAATTATTTGAGTTTTTTGTATCTAATTTACTTATTTTATTTATGAAGCGTTTTATGGATGCGAAGATTTTATCATATTATCAAACTGAACGCGGTGGTCACGTTGAAATTTCGGAAATCAGGGCATCAAAGGTATACTAATATTCAGCTTTATATCTTAATCAAATTTTTTGTGAAGAGGAATAATTAAATCGTTAATTTTAATCTTAACCTCTTTCCTATCTTACCATAGTTGTACTGGAAAGGAGCTGAAGAAACCTTTAAAAAGATTTTGGAACTTGAAAAGGGTATTACTGATGACTTGAACAAACTCGACGATACCGTAAGAAAAGAATTCTTCAGTATTTTGCATTTCTTTTACCTTGGCAATTTTCATATACTCCTATAATTTGTACTATTAATTTTTATTGAATTGTTATTAAAAAAAATTTTTTTATATCATTAAGGCTGATAAAAGTGGTGACAGAGCAGCATCAAGCTTTATCGAAAACCACTTATTGGCGAAACAAGTTTGTCGTGTCAAGACTATTGCGGATTTGCTTAGCCAAATTAAACGTGTTGGTGGAGAAGGTACCGGTTTGTTCCAACTTGATTTGGAATTGAGAAAAAATCACGGAATTCCTCCTTGGGAAAAACACTATAATTACGGACGCGATTATTTCGAAAGCGAAAGTGAACGCGAACGTTTTGCTACTGTTCACGAACGTTTTGCCAATAATTTGAAAATTAGAAATTGAAAAAAATCACATTCAGCTTTAATTCTTTTTTTTTATTTATATTGCAGATTTAGTTTAAAGAAGCTTTCATGTAATAATTAATCCTTTTGTAAATTGAATATTTGTTAATAATTTTTCCAATAAAATTTCTTTGACGTTAATTTTTAATTTTTAAATTTCCATCTGCTGATCATTTGCGTTTCATAAATTCATCAAATATTATAGTAGATGATGTACCTTTCAAATTATATTATTATTACCATAAAAATTGAAATATTTACATAAGTTTGATAATTAATCAAAAAAAGAAACCTTCAACTTCACGTAGAAACGCGTGGAAACACGTATAAAACCACCATATTATCGTGATAAATCATAAAACAATTATAAAAATTGTATCTGTCCCGAAATATGTACATAAGTTTGATAATTAATCATTCAACTTCACATAGAAACCACTATTCGTAGAAATATTAACTAAAGCAGATAAAAAATGAAATTAAAACTAAGTAGGAAAAAAAAAAAAGAAAAAATGTAAATTATTGAAAATGTAAACGAGATTGAAGTAAAAAAAAAATTTAGTGGCCTAATACGCGTCATCAATTATTGACCTAATACGATTATCATCAGTTTTCAATCTTTTAATCGAATCACCACTATCTGAATTAGAACTAAGGTCAACATTATCTTCTTCGGGAATATGTACTCGTTTACCGTTCTCATTTTTAACTATCGTGATGTTGTCATTTTTAAGATCTGACTTCTTAATTACTTTAAAAACCTCATAATCCGTAAGTGAAAAAGAATCGCGATCAAGAATTGGTCTTTCATATGATTTTAGGATACATTTACCCAAAAACCATTGTAGGTCGTGACTAAAACTTGGATTCTTGGCAGCATTCCAAATTGCTGATTTACTACTTTTATTACGTGATAAAATGTTGACATCAGCATCATTTCTTTCCATCGAAAAGAGGAAACTGGATGAAGTTTCACCCCATCCTCCTTCTGATTTCCAATCGTTAGGATTATATCCACCTAACAACTTACTAGAATTAGCGATTTCTATAATAACAACCGTGGGACCTTGACCGTCGCATTGTTCATGAAATTTTACTGCATCATTCGTTCCATCCCTACTTCCACGTAAAAGGAGATGAAATGTATATGGTATATTTTTTGATTTATCGGGATCCATTTCCATGAAATTATCTATCCATGACGCTAATTGACAAAAATGACTCATATTAAGTAACTTTGAATTAAAAACGTTTTCCACATTTTCTGATGTGTTTCGTGGAGGAAGGATAGCGAATTTTTGTGGTGAAAGTTTTGCAAAGAAATAATCCTTAATTTCTTCGCGTAACCCTTTGGGAAGAATTTTCTTATATGGTCTTATCTTTTTTCTATGATCTTCACCGGAAATATTAAAAAATCGTATATGAGGAATTAAATTTTGCACCGTTTTTCCTAATGTATCCATATCTTCATCAGTCCACTTTAAAACATCGGGATCTAAAGTTTTATTTCTGTAAAGTCCCCATTTTAGTACTGAATCCCATACTTCAATTTCAGGAATCTTAAGGTCATCTCTTTGAATTAATATTGAAATATATTCTTCCTCTAACGTGTAGAAATCTCCAGCTTTTAAAATTTCGGATGGACTTTCGTTCACTAACATTTGACAGTAAGATTTTATTTTTGCTAAATATTGATGTTCTGAAGTTATTTTAATTAATTGGACAAGATGTTGACGTATCCATTCTGGTTGTTGTTCTACAATGTAATTTTGAATATGTTCAGTTAATTCTTGTAGGTTTAATCCGTGAGACCCGGTTAATAATTCAAGGAATACTGATTTGGTCGCGTCTTCATTTAAATCAAGGGTTCCTGTATATATGTATCTAATAATAAAAATATAATTTATTATGTCAAAGAAACGAGAAATAGTATATATGCGTTAAAATTGTTGCTTTCTTTTAATAAATTATTTAAATATTATTAATATTATTCATTTTCACTTTTGATATTATAGATTTAATTTCGTTCCTGTGTAACATTGCTTTTAGAACACCGAACCGTTGTAAAATAAAAAATATACCTTAAAAGGATTTCAAATACGTTTGGTGGTATATTTGGGAGGCTTAAAGTGATAATGCCACCTTTAATGATATTTTTTATCGGTAAAAGTTCGCGAAAATACGAAGACCGCGCACGTAATATTACTGAATGAGCTTTAAATTTATCAACGTCGTGCTTTTGTCCGCACGCAATAACTACGTTATAGTCTTCGGAATCATCATAAAGGCGGCGTATGTCGCGTATTAAACTATTTTCTAAGATTCCTGATTGCATTTTTTGTCCTTTATTATGTATGTTAAAAAGAAGACGGAGAAAAGGAGGCTGGGATTTATCAACTTTTCGATGTAAGTTTTTTTGAGGGGCTTAAAAATTATTTAAGTATATCTTTTTGATGACCCAATAAAAATTTTTTTCACCACCCAAGATTAAGCTGCGTCTCGAGGTTAGTGATCAACACATACATGGGGCAGGAATAATGCCAGAAAATACAATTATACAAATCGGGCTTTGCAATTATATTCTTGCCAATGACTCGAGTGAAAAGATGACTTTAGCTAGTTTTTTAATAATTAAAATCTTTAGATCTGTTACACTAACTAGATTGTTGTTAGTGGCGCGCGATAAAACTGACACGATCTCTAACTAGAATTATTCGGTCGTTTCTTTTTTTCACAAGAAATTTTAGTTAAATTTCCTAACGATAATAATTGTATGACGATCTCTTACAAGTTTTTTTGTAACACAATAATGAAAGTATTTTTTAATTATGTAAAAATTTATCAAGAAATTTTTATTTATAAAATTTTCAAAATCTCTAATAATCACTCATTATATAAAACATGTAACATAAGATACCTCAAAAGACTTCTGTATTATTAGAAAATTAATATTTCCATAAAGATCAATGAATCAGTAAAGAAAAGCGTAGCGTATTAATTTTTTTTTTTTTTTTTTTTTTTTTTTTTTTTTAATAATCTTTAAATCTCCTGGTTGCAATATCTTTTCAATCTAAAGACAAACAACATATAATATGATTAAAATCTTAAAACGCATTTTTTTACAATGGGGTTAAAAGGGGAAAAAAAATTATGGAAACAAAGCAAATAAAAAAAGATATTATTCACTTTCTCTATGAAATTATGTATAGTAAGAGAATATAATATCTTTAAGCAAATTATAAACCATATAGAAAGAGATAAAGAAACTTTATAATTGGAAATTTATTATTGAGATCGTAGAAAACACAACTTCTTTAACCACCGAAACCATAGAGGGTACGGCCTTGGCGTTTGAGTGCGTAAACTATTATTAATACAAGATTTCAGTTTAGTATTAATGTATTATTTAGAATGAAATCCATATTTGTGTAACGGCAAAAGAAAACATCTTAAACTTACCAACGTCAAGAGACGTTACGGTTTTACGTTTTGCGTGTTCAGTATAAGTAACGGCATCCTTTAGGAACATAATTAAAAGCGAAAATAATTAGTTATACAACTTTGAATGACCTTGTGCACAGTTTATTGTTTATATATAGAACTACTATAAAAGGAAACAACAAAAAAAAATAACTTCCTCATCGCCGAAAGTCATAACTTACTCGGATAACGTTCTCAAGAAAGACCTTCAAAACACCACGGGTTTCTTCGTAGATAAGTCCAGAAATACGTTTAACGCCACCACGACGTGCAAGACGACGAATAGCAGGTTTGGTGATACCTTGAATATTATCACGAAGAATTTTTCTGTGACGTTTGGCACCTCCTTTTCCGAGTCCTTTACCACCTTTTCCACGTCCAGTCATATTTTTTTATGTTGAAAATTTAAGTTAAAAATACTTTTTTTATGATTTATTAGAAGGTTGACTTTATTTTTTAATACGGAAATTAGTGTGAGGTGGGAAAGAAATGAGAGAAAGTTAAGAGACTATAAAGGGAAAAAAAGCAGTGTTTATATAATATAAAAAGGGGCGCAAAGTGTTACCAATGAAGATCAGGTAAAACATCAAAAATATCAAAAAAAAAAAACACTTTATTCAATTAATTAATTAATAATAAATTTGTTAGATCGGAAATTGAACATATTATAAGTTAATCACCTGACGCGAAACTCCGAGCTTTCGAGCTGAACTTCTCATAGATAATTATTAATAATTAATAATAAGTCATTGTGATGATGCGTGCGCGACTTCTTCGGTTTGCATGAAAGAAACATGCATAATATCTATCTGTTAAAGAATCTGCTGTGTAATATAAGATACTGAATGCAACAAATAAATATTGTCCTAATCAATTATTTGATTGGAAATTTTTTTTTAAATCAAATCAATATCATTTTTTGAGAGAATTATTTATTTATTTATTAACTTCTGATCTATATTATTGGCTTTTTGAGTTTGAAATCATTTCTTTGAATTATTCGAATTCTGCAATAATATAATTAGTCCAAAATAGATAATCTCAATCGCAAAAATATATACATTAAATACATTGAGATACATTTTCATTCAGTTGTTATCAAATGATCACAGAGATAAAGGTTACATCATTGTTACATTTTTTTTTAACTTACTTTTTTTATCATATTTGTGTCATAATAAACGTTTGGAAAAAGAAAAAATGGGTTTTATGATTAACATTTCCAGACCAATCCGGAGCATATACTTGACCACGTGATATAACGATGGATCAAAGATTTCGCGTTGTTGTTATTCAATACTCAAACAAAGAGATCAAATGCGATCTCTTTGATCTCTTTGATCTCCTAAAACTCTTTACTTAATGGAATACGAAGGATCTTAATAGTCTTAATGAATGATAACATTGACCTATAAAAATGATAAAAATCGGACTTTTTTAAAAAAATCAAAAAAAATAATTATCTTAAATTATCAATTATTGTTGTACAAAGTATCTTAATAGCTTTCTTATTGGTTCAGACTATCTGCAGAACATCATTTATATACTTGACTTTACATTGTTTGTGTCCAAATGATTTTTCTTTATCAGTAAGTAAATATAATGGTTAATATGTAATATTAATAATAATTTATACAATAATAATAATACAATAATAATATTATTATTATTATAATTTCTCTATAATTTAAATTTCTATAATTAAAGTTTTAAATTACATGATGATATTCTTTCAAGAATTTATTTATAACTTCCTAGCACGAGGATCTCTCTAACCATTTTAAATTAATTAATTAAATTCATGACTTTATTTATAAAAACGGAGCATTCTCTTCTTTGTAAATTAAAATTATTCTTTTGAGTCAACTTGATTTTCTTGAAGGATAATTGTAAAATTCTTTATTATTATTATTATTATTATTATTTTAACCAGCAACATTTTTAATTGTGATTCCCCCTTAGAAATCTTAAGGATAAGGGTAAAGAATATAAATAAATCATTCATTCATCACAACGAGAAAAATTTGTGAGATTAAAAAAACCCCTCAATTGATAAATTTAATTATTGTAACAATCATTATAATAAAAAGGTGACTATGAGGCTTCCTTCTTTGGATAATTGTACACAATTTTATTTACAGTATTCGAATGTTTGTTTATGTTGTTGATGTGGTAAATAAATAATCCCAATTTTTCATATAGTTCATTTAATAATAATAGTAATAATAATGTTCTTAACAAGTTTATCGTTTTCCAAGAATTCTAAGTTGTTATTGAACGTAATCAATAGAACAAAATATTATTCCACTTCAGGTTTTTTTTTTGATATTATTTAATAATGAGATTGATGATGATGAACAATTTAAACAGTATAAAAAACAGTTCAGTTGATAATTGAAATATATTAATTTTTTTTTTTTTTAACCTGTTGATTTTAATTATTATTGTATAGGAAAGGTAAATGTTTATAATAATAATTTATTGAATTTTCTAATAATATAATTTTTAAGATTTTTTTTTTTTTATGATTAGCATTCTAGAAATGATACTATTGGATTTATTGGTATCGGTCAAATGGTATATATTATTATTAATTATAATTATTATTATCCATTCCATTATTATTTATTATATATATTATTTATTGTTCATATCATTTCTTCATTGAAAAAAAAGGGATTCAAGATGGCTAATCATCTATATAACAAAATGAATTCATCATTTGTTCTGTATGACATAAATAAAGCTGCTCTAGAAAAGTTCATATCAATTCAATCTAAATCTCTCTCTCAAAAACCAATTCATCTGGCAAAATCACCAGTTGAAGTTGCTGAAAAGGCTTCAACTGTGATTACAATGTTACCTGATTCACCTTTTGTACAAGAAGTATATTTGGGTAAAGATGGATTAATTAATGGATTGGATAATTCAAGTTTTTTCATTGATTCTAGTACAATTGATCAAAGTGTTTCAAAGGATGTGGCAAATCAAATTATTAATAAAGGTGCAAGACAAATTGATGCTCCTGTATCTGGAGGTAATAAATTTATTATTATTATTATTATTATTATTATTTAAGAAAAATATTTCATTAACATAATTTCATTATTATTATTATCATTATTAATTTCTTTCTTTCTCATCACATAATTATTATGATAAAATAAGGAGTTGTTGGTGCGGAAGCGGCAACTTTAACTTTTATGGTTGGTGCAGCATCAGAAGATGATTTTATTAAAGCAAAATCTTATTTAAGTCATATGGGAAAAAATATTGTTCATTGTGGTAATCTTGGATCAGGTCAAATTGCCAAAATTTGTAATAATATGTTATTGGCTATTTCAATGATTGGATTATCCGAAACAATGAATCTTGGAATAAAATTAGGATTAGAACCAAAATTATTATCGGAAATATTAAATTCTTCATCAGGACAATGTTGGTCAAGTGAAAAATATAATCCTTGTCCTGGTGTAATGTCAAATGTACCATCAAGTAGAAATTATGAAGGTGGATTTGGAAATAAATTAATGGCAAAAGATTTGAGATTAGCTATTAACGCTGCTAATCTCACTCAGGCCACTGTTATTTTGGCTTCTGTAACACAACAAATTTATAATTTTTTGTCGAAATCACCTGACTACGAAAGTAAAGACTTTAGCTCAATATATAAGTGGTTAGATAAAAATGGGAAATAAAAAAGATTACAAAGAATTACGTAAAATTTAATATAATATAATATAATTAATATTTAAGTATGTTTAAGTATTATTTAGTATATTTAGTATATTCAAAATATTTGATATTTGATATATTTAGAATATTGGTATATTTATTATAATTATTATTTTATATCTGGAATATACTCGTGTTTAAATCAAAATAAAATAAAATAAATAATTCAATTCTCTTTTCTTTATTTATTTATTTATTTCTTTCTTTCTTTCTTTCTTTTATTTCTTTTATTTCTTTCTCTTTTCATTTCTCCGACATAAAATTTGATCTAAAATAAAATAATGTTGCCATAGTATAATTAGTATAATTATAAATTAAATTATTTTATATAATATAAGAATATTTTCGATCACAACGTAAAATCAATCAATGTAAAAAGAAAAATCACGTAAAAAATCAATGTATAAACACAAAAAAATATCTCATGATGCAATTAAGTCTGTTTTCGATTTTTTTTTGCCTTTACAAAAAAAAATATTGATTCAAAAGTTAATATTAATATTTGATTAGTAATAATATTATTAATGTTAATAATGTCATCATGACAACACTCTCTAAAAAGTTGGATATTCATAAAAAAAAAAATTTAATTGTTTCTTCCTTTGTTATTGTTCTACAATTTTATAAATTTCTATCTTATTTCTTTATTTCTTTATTTGGTATTTTAAGGTACAGACTTGGTGAATAAATTTCATTTTTTCGTTACATTTTTTTTTAAATATTTTTTAAAAAAAGAAATTTTCATTTTGGTTATTGATTTATTTTTATTGTATTTTTTTTTTTTTTATGATGCGATTTATTTTTATTTTTTCTTGGAATTCAAGAAATAAAAATGTCAGATTGCAAAGGAAAAAACGTTGTTCCTGTTGATGAAACTTTGCTTGAGAAGAAAGATAAAGAAATAAAACATCTTCGTAAACAAATTTCCGCATTACAAAATGAAGCGATTAGAAGTTTTACTGAAGCCATTCATTACAACGAAAGAATCCTCTATAATGTTGTCGCTTATCATGATCGAGTTGCCTCTTTTCGTGAAGATGGTGGTGGTTGTATGACTATAAGAAATCAATTAATAGCTTCGCAAGCTATTCTTGCCGATGCTAGAGACGCAATGTTAAGTTATACTTCAATTGGTTTTGAAGACCAAGAACAACAATGCGGTGATGAGGATGATAAAGAATCCATTAAAAGTATCACGACTTCCATTACAAATAAAGAAGGTCGTCGAGAAGGTGGATTTTTTACTGATACCTTTAAAGATACCCTTAAGGATCCTCTTAAAAATCCTTTGATTACTGAATCACTTAGAGCTACTCCCAGTCAATCTTTTGTTGAATCGTTAAAGGAACTTACCGCTAAACTTGCTTTACGTCAATCTAATAATACGAATACAATTACTAATAATACCGCAACAACTTCTCAACAACCGCAAACTCCTGAATCCTTGGTCACCAATTTAGGTCAAAATTTTCAAGAAGGTAATTATATATACTTAAATTTACAATTATAATTCTAATTATATGATAAATTTATCAATTGTGTGATTTATTCATTGGAATTTTATTATTATTATTATTATTAATGTTAAAAAAAGTAACATCTCCTGAAGCAACAAAACAAACACCCAAGATTGCAATTCCAGCAGTTTACGTTGGTGTTTTTAAAATTGATATTCCTCCTGCTGTTATCAAGAAATCTTTGAGTGATATGTTTGGAGAAGTAATTGCTGTTGCAAAATATCGTCATAGAGTAAGCTTTCTTTCATTTTATTTCATTTACTACTTCTTTTATAACAAAATCAATTAATTATAAAATACAATTAAATATATATTTATATCTATTTATATATTTATATTTATTTATATATTTATTTATATTTAGGATCATGCGTTCGCGTATTTCTCCAAGTGGGATTCTTATCATGAAGCATTGAGTCAAGGTGGAATCGTTATCTCTGGTCAAATGTTATCCATTAAGAAATCAGAACATGCTCCACGTCCAGGTTCATTTGATTGGTATCGATTTCGTAGTGCTTATGAAAATAATAAGGAGTCACTTAAGTAAAAGAAAAGAATCAGCAGCAGCAACGAAAGAAAATCAACAAATTAATTCAACGAATTCGTTGAATAATGATAATAATGATAATATTAATAATATCAATGTTACTAATTCTACCAAAACTAACTAATTCGTTGACTAATAATAATTCGTTAATAATAATCCAATAATAATCAATAATCAAAAAAAATATATATAATTATATTTAAGAGACAAAATTTCTTTAATGCGTGGTGGGTGTTCGTTTTTTTTTTTGGAGGAAAATCAAAGTTTTATTTTTTTTTATATGCGCCGTTTTATGCTTTTTTATGTCGTCGTATTTGTTTTGTTTCTATTCAAATATTTTTTCACGAATTTATTTTGCTAAATTAATTCATTCTTAAATTGCACTTTTTTTAATATCTAGATATTCATATACTCTTATGTTATAGTATTATTAATCGCATTTTGCTTTTTTTTAATTACCGTTTTTTTTCTCTATCATTAGAGTAGGGTTTATTGCTTTTTTTTTTTTTTTGATTGTTGATGACATAAGAGAACTTAATTATTATTATTTTACATTTTAAGAAAGTATTTTTTTTTATTTTTTAACTTTGCAATTTTTACGAAATTTTATGAGAATTTACGCGGTTTATTTTTAATTAATAAAATTCAAATTTTATTTTTTTTTCTTCATTATCGCGTACACTAATTCTGGTCAAAAATCCAATTTTGATTTACATTTAATACGTATCATTCGAAACCAAAAGTTCATCCTTAATATTGTTAAAGAATAAATATAATCAAATTGTATCTAACATTGAGCTATTAATAAAAATTTCTTCATTTAACCTGTGAAAAAAAAGGAGAAAGATAAAAAAGGAAAAGAAAACACGAAAAAAATTTTATTTTAAAGTTATTATTAAACATCAGTTCCAAAAAAAGAAATTTCAAAAAGAAATTAAACTAGCTAGGAATTATTTCCATGTCCTTCCTAATCTCCTTTAAGTCTTCTGTCGCCTTCTTTTTCTCTTCTTCCTCTTCTTTCATAAACTTCATCATTTTACTTCTCGCCTTTCTCAAAAAAAAAAAATCTTTCTTTCCAACTATGAACAAAAAAAAATGAAAAAAAATAATCGTGCACGTGTATATTCTTGTATAAATTCAAGTTTTAATAAAATGCGTTCGTGTTTATGTTGTTCAGCTCCATGTATGGGTCCAACAGTAGATAAAGAAAGTATCAAGTGTTTCACGATTTTGTTCAGTCTTTAATATGATGAATGCAACACATGTCACACGAAAATTATAGTAAAAAGCGCGAAATAATGTAATAGTTATTTCATTACATTATCTATGGCGCAAGATTGTATAATTGTTCACATTATGTGATATTTAAATATACTGTATATGGTTTAAACTACAATTTTTTTGATCATCATTAACTTACATAAGCATAACCTGCCTATATGCACAAAAGCATGCTTTTATACAGGTTCAACTGAATTCAAGGAAAACACAATTGTATTATTACGTATGTGTATATGCTATTTTTTTTTTTGTAATCCAAAAGAAAACCTTTTGGGCGCTGAAAATGTAAATTCAAGTTATCAATTTTTATCTTTAGGCTTATCAATCAATATTTTAAGCGTAGATCATTTCTACCAGAACTATAACCGATCAATTTTTTTTATACAAGATTACATATTTCAGTATTGAATTTCATGTTTTCATTTTCTATAAAGTAGATAAAATAGATAAAGTATATTATTTTATTTTTATTTTGAAATCAATCTAAAAGTTATGTAAATTGTAAAAAAAAAAAAAAAATTATCAAACACCAATGAATGAAACAGCCCTCTGTATCTGCCTTACCCCCTATATCTACCAGTAGCCAGAAATTCTTCTCACCCCTCGTCCCTCTAAGTAATAAACGGATAAATGAAATTGTATGGACGGATAAACAGGATGGTAGAAAAATATAGTATTCTCAGGTTGATAACCAGATATCAAGAAATTCCTTAGGGGAAGCCTATTCTTTCGGAGTCAGTTAAGAAAAAAAACCCAATATCGGTTTTTTACCGAACTAAAAAGATTAGATAAAGGGGAACGTTTCAGCGAAGAAGAGGCGAAGAGAGGTTTTCTCTTCGATAGGTAAGTGATTCACAAGATTTCATTATCTAGAGCGCCCATTTTGCGAGAGAAGAACTGAAAAAATAATGTACACCTAAATGTGGCGCAGCTTATCGCTATGATTTACCGGGGATAATTTGATAATCTTTTTGATGATTTTGTAATTTTGTACTTTACGACTTTGTCCGAATTTTTCGAATTCTCGATAAATTATAGAATAAAGTTATTAGTAATGGTTCTACGGATCTCGTCCAAGGTTTTTTTTTTTTTTTAATACAATTATCATTTAATTATTGTTTTAATTATCGTTTTTTAATTTATCAATTATTATTATAGTCGTGTGTAATTTCTACTCGTCTTAATATTACCTCCAAATATTTCCAAAACTTTCGGATACCGAATATATCGAATAACAATAATAATAATAATAATAGTATTTTTAAAAATAAAAATTTATTACTATTTTATCCACAACAAAAATTATTTTATACTACACCTATCACACCTACCACACCTGCTACCGCCGAAATTTCCGAAGAAGTTCGTCGATATTATGAAGGAATAAAAAATCGAAATCGATATTATTTGGCAAAAGCTATAACTTTAGGTATTTTGTTAATGATAATAATATATTATTATCATCATCATCATCATTATTGGTTATTATCATCATTATTATTGATTATTATCATCATTGTCATCATCATCATTAATTATTATTATATTTTGTACTAAAGTGGAATCAACACGAAAAGATCATAAAGAAAAAGCCCAACAATTACTTTCTATGATTCTTACCAACAAACAAAATGTTTCTAATAATAATAATAATCATAAACCAATAACGTATAGAATAGGACTTTCTGGTCCACCCGGAGTGGGAAAGTCAACTTTTATTGAACGTTTTGGAATGTATATATTATCTCAAAATCATCGTTTATCTGTTCTTGTAAGATAAAATCATCATCATTATTATTATTATTATTATTATTATTATTATTATTATTATTATTTATTAATTATTATTAATAATAATTATTATATTTCTTTATTATATTTATATTTATATTCTTTATTATTATTATTATTATTATTATTATATTTGTATTTGATTCATGTTCTTTACTCTTTAGGCAGTTGATCCATCTTCATCACGAACTGGTGGATCAATTTTAGCAGATAAAACCAGAATGTCAGAATTATCGCAGCAAGAAGACGCGTACATTCGACCATCACCTAGTCGTGGTGCACTTGGTAAAATTTGATTAGTTAATTCTTTAAAAATTATATAAAAAAAAAAAGAAAAAAATTATTTATTAATCATTTTTATTTTTTCGTGAATATTTTTTATAGGTGGTGTAAGTTTCTCGAAAAAATAATAATAAATGACATAATTTGAAGTTTAAATTTTTATAAAGTTATAAATTTTTATGTAGGTAGCCCGTAATACGAGTGAAGCTATAATTTTATGTGAAGGTAATTTATCCATTTTATAAATTTAAATATTAATTTATCAATTAATTTATTCATTTTATAAAATCTAAATATTAATTTATCCATGTTTTATTAATTTGAAATAAAAATCTATAAAAAATTTTAATATTTTGTATAGCTGCAGGATATGATGTCTGTATAGTAGAAACCGTTGGTGTAGGTCAATCTGAAATCATGGTAGCAGACATAGTTGATATGTAAGTGTATTTTTGTTCTTAATATTTTTTTTTATTATTATTTTATTTTTTTGCTAATAAAATTTTTATTAAAAATATTTAAATATATTTTAATTTTTATTTTCTAGGTTTGTTTTAATGGTTCCACCAGCAGGTGGTGATGAAATACAGGTATTTGATTTACAATATTAAGTTTTATAAATTATTATTTTTATTATTAAGATGAATATATATATATATTAATATATTTTGATATGAATTTATTATTGAATTTATTATGGTAAATAATAATAATAATAATAATAATAATAATAAAAGGGATTGAAAAAAGGCATAGTTGAAATTTCTGATCTTGTGATTGTAAATAAAGCTGATGGACCATTAGCTAATTCTGCAAAAGAAGCAGCAGCAGAGTATACAAGTGCTTTGAAATATCTTAATCCTATTTCAACATATTGGAAACCTCAAGTATAATAATGGATTAATTTATTATTGTCATTTATTATTATCATTCATTATATCATTTATTATATTATTATTTATTATCATTTATTATATAATTGAAAATAAATTATTAAAGTATAAATTATTGATGAATTTGATTATCATTTAGGTTATACGTGTTTCTTCCAAGACTAACATGGGAATTGAAAATGTATGGAATACGATAATGGAATTTTTCAAAATAATGAATGTAAGAAAAATAATAAAATTAATTAATTAATTAATTAATTATTTATTTATTTATAAATGAAATTATTATAAATATATAAATATTTATTTTATTACATTAAATTTTATATTATATTTTATAATATTATAATTAGGAATCTGGAGAATTACAAAGACGGCGAGGTAATCAAAGAACATTATGGATGTGGCGTCAAATAAAGACAATACTTTTGGATAGGTAAAGATCTTTTTGATTTATTTCTTTTTAAAAATAATTCATTTAAATATTTCATCTTATTTATTCATTTCATTTAAATATTTATTTTATTTAAATATTTTATCTATTTATTCATTTAATTTAAATAATTAATTTAAATATTTCATCTATTTATCATTTCATTTAAATGTTTATTTTATTTAAATATTTCCTAAATAATAATAATAATAATAATAATAATATAGATTGAAAGAAGATGAATTTACAAGAAAACTTGTTAATGCATATGAAAAAAAAGTATTAGATGGAGAAATAACTTTTGGTGCAGCAGCTAATAATATAGTTGATAGATTTATGAATAAATGTACTGTTATATAAATTAATCAAATAATAAATTATTTATAAAAATATTCAAATTTCTTTTTCATATCTTTAATTGCAGTAACAGACAAATATGATTTTCACATAAAAATTGATATTCAGAAGGTGTGACAAATTTTTACCTGACCCTAACCCTTGCATTTAGTCATATGATAAAAATTTATGAAATTCCACATTCAACCAATAAAATAGCCCATGCGCCATAACGCAGATACGTTAAAAAAACAAAATACATAAATTACATATAAATAAATATAAATAAATATTATTTTTATTTAGATTAACCTTGCAGGAAAAAAATTTATGCTAAATGTTAAAAGATTGTTAAAATTTAAAATTTGCACATGCAGCGCAGACAATAAAATGTAAATACTTGGTAATTATCTCTCTTTCTCTGGTAATATAAATGATAATATAAATGACAAGATAATATTAAGATTAAAATGTGATGATGATTTGAGTAAAAAAACAAAAAAGGTAACAAAATAAAAAGGATTATAATAAAAGATAGAAAAGATGATGGTCTTTACTTTGAATTCATTAAAAAATCAGATTAGAGCATGGTTATATTTGTGCTAGCATATGAATATTATTTCAAACTGCACAACCCAAATTTGAAACCGTTTTTTTGATCATCTATATTCGATTTTTTCTTTGTTAATTTTTGGTTAATTCGACGTTCAATAACAAGATAATCAAATGGTTTATTCTATATTTAAAGAAATTTACCAATTACATGACATTGTGTGTATGTTTACTTCTATAGATATATCCAATTTAGGATTCTATACCCAATTCAGGATTTCATACCCCATTTTAGATTTTCATTCTCACCCCAATTATTTTATATAATTATATTATATATTAAAGCAATTTAATAAAAGATATCATTTATAGAGATTCATTTATTTTTTATTGTTGGTGAATGATGATTGTTGGTGGAGAATGAAAAAAAGAAAGAGAGATGATATACAAATTCCATAAATTAAATATGAACTAAAAAAAACTGTACACGCAATCTCTATGGTTCATCTCTTTCTCTTCTTTTTCTTCTTTCTCTCTTTGTCTGTCTGTCTATCTAATATTATTTTCCATTTTCTTTATTTTCATTTTTCATTTTTTTATATATGTTTCATTCACACATTCATTCATAATTTACTAATTGTAAAATTACGTTTATCCAAAATATGAGGGGATAATCGGGACAATATCTTGATATTAAACTAGTATACATGAGTTATGTGTTGTCATATGATATATGTTTACTTACATAATGTATATCCTTACGTAATGTACAGGTATATTTTGTTGGTTTTTTTAAAGGGTATTTTTTTTGATGTTTTACGTGAGAATATATATAACCGTGAGAAAAATCTAAATACATTTTATTTATTAGTTATTTATTTATTGTTATTGCATGACCAGTATTTAAAATATATATATATCTGTGTGTGTATAAATATTAAATTAAAAAAGTATTAAAAAAGGAATTACTTGAAACAACCCATAAATAATAATAATTATTATTTTCGATTTTGGTAAATTAAATAAATTACGTTCGTTATTTTATTCGCATCACGTGAAACACTGGATAAAACTATTTCCCAGATTTTGCTGGTTTAACAATTTATTATGTAATAAGATAAGGAAAGTATAATTTTTAAGTGTTTATGCTTTGATAGCAAAAATACATATTTGAATTTTGTGATATGTTGATATGTTGATAATAATAATTACGATAAAAAAAATTTTTAACTTTAAAATTCATTTTTCGTGATAAAGGTTAAATACAAAAAAAAAAAAAGAATGTGTCATTACTTCTTTACTATTTCGTTACTTTGTATTAAATATTATCTTTTTTAAGAAGAATTCATAAAGAACAGTATATAAAAATAATTTAGATTAACAAATAAAAAGTGATATCATTAAATTTCATTAAATTTCATTAAATGTGCAAAAAAAAAAAAATAGTATAAACGTGTCGTGTAAAAATCCCCTCTGTGAATTCGAAAAAAGAAAATAATAATTGATATATCTCGGCCTAATTGATTATTCATTATTCATTTTTCATTATTCGTTATTCATTATTCATTATTCATGAATATTATAAAATTCATTAATTAAAAATTAATAAAACATCATAATCATCTTTAAGCTATTGAACCATCATCATCCGATAAATTAAATACTTTTGAATCCCTTAAATTAATACTATCTCTATAAGTAATAAATTCTTCATCTTGAATAAATTGTGAAAGACTTCTATATCTCATCATATTGGTATTATTATTATTATCATTACTATTATTACTAATAATTCTTGATCTTCGATGATAATTATTTTGATCTTTCCATGCACACCATTGTAAAAATATTGTAACATCAAAGGCTAATGTTCCAATTGATCCTAATACATAAGGGATTTGCTCATAAAGATATTCTTGACTGGTTTTTGCCAATGGATGAGTAAATATTGATAATGTATAACTTAAATTACCCAGAGCTGCAAAAATGAACATAAATATAGAAAGACCTTCTACTGATCTTCTGGTGTACTAAAAATAACAAAATTTATAATTAAGTTTAGTTAATTATAATAAAAAATAAAAATAAAAAATAATATAAAAAATAAAAAAAAAATAAAAATAGAAATAAAAAATAATAAAAATAGTTACATTTTTCCATATTTGTGGCATTCGACTAGTTAAATATAAAAATGTACATGACCATGCCATTATTTTCCCTATCGTATCTCTATTCTCTTCTAAAAATAGTGTGAATTCATTATTATTGTTATCTTCATTTTTGGAAACGGATGAAATGGATGATGATGATATTGTGGATGTGGTATGAAATGCAAAAAGAAAGATAGCAAAAATCGTCGTACTACAATAAATAGTAATAATAATAATAATAATAATAATAATAATAATAAATAATAAATAAATAAATTATTATTATTAAAATGTATAATAATTTGGTAATAAATATATTCTTTTAATATTTACTTACACTCGTTGATATGATTCTTTCTTCCTTGCGGGAAACGTATAATTCTTTTTTGCTCCTTCCAAGATTGAGTCTTTAAGTGATAATGTTGATAAAGGTCTACCACCATTTGTAGCCATTTCATTATTGCTTTCATTAAATATAAATTCTAAATCTTCATCTTCTACTACTGGTTTTTTATACCATGTATAATAAAAATATTGAAAAAATAATCCAAAATCCACTGCACAAAAATATTCAGCAAGATAATACTATATATGTATTAATTAAATATTATTATTAATTATTAAATATAATATAATATTTTAAAAAAAAATTTTAATTAACTTAATTAACTATATTTAGAATATTATAATATATTTTATGCATATCATGTATTTATAGTATATTATCATTTTATAGTTTAAATTACTATAATTACTATTTCCATTTATTTATAAATATCACGTGCATGATTTGTGTATTTTTTATGTTTACAAACCTGAAATGCCAATCGCTTAGTTAAAATGCAGCCAATAAGGTTGGTAAGATCACCCAATAACCAAGTTAGTAAAAATGGTAAGCTTAATCCATCTGCAGAACTATTTAGATAATTCGTCACAATTTGCCTAAAAAAAAAAAAAAAAATTGAAATAAAATTTTTTTTACGGAATGTTGTAAATTAATAAATTATAAATGAAATAATCGAAAAACAAAAAAATTATGTAATGTTATGACGAAATATGATAATGATAATGATATGTATGATACTTACGGAAACTGAGCGTTTAACCAACAAAATATTGAAATGCATCCTAAAACATAAAAAAATTTATAAATATTAATAAATATTAAATATGTAAATTTTCGAAAAAATTTTCGTTTTTTTTTTCTACCTAAAAAAAAGCTTATAGCTTCGTCATTATGTATACAAAGCCCAAAATATGTATTCAGCCATTGTATATATGGCATAACATCACGCGTTATCGGGACACAAGTTTCGAACATTATTATCTATTTATTATTTAGTATTTGGTATTTGAATATTTGAGTATTTGGATATTTTTTTGTTTTATTATTTTCTTTCGTAGTGTTTCGTTGCTTTATTAAAAAATAATTATTTATTTATTTATCGTGGAATATTAGTTTATATCAAAATATCGTTATTCGTTAAACACGTTTATTTGACTCTTTTCTCGGTGTGTGGTGGTTGATAATAAAGAGAGAGAAAAAAAAAAGGAAGAAGTTTGCTTAAAAGAAAAAAGAAATATGAAAAGAAGAAGGAGGATTTTGGCCGAGATAAAAATCAGAAAATATTGAACACACAGAGGGAGGAGTGAAGGAAAAAAAAAAGTTGGGAGACGATTGTTGTTCACAAGTTATTTAAATAATTTATATATGAACGTGAAAACCAACGATAACGGATATTATCGTTAGATCTACACATAAAAATACTTTGATAGAAAATGATAAGGGTAAAATAAAATGTTTTATTGCATAGCATATTTTCGATATTCTGATTAAAAGATAGAAAAGATAAAAAAAAAAATTGCATATATGTATAATAATATATTTTTAATAATAATCAAAATAATAAATCAAATCATATTACGTATTATACATATATATAATTATTTTGTAAAAAATCTTAGTTTTAAAATGATTAATTTATTTAAATTATTATTTGGATCACGAGGAAATAACAAAAAAATAAAAAAAAATAACAAAATTCATGATTATTAAAGCCCCCTTTTATTAATCCTATATAGACGTCAGGTGTTAGTCACGACTCGTAATACAACATTCTTTCCAAGACAAGAAATAGGATCACAATAAAAATTTGTCATTAAAACACCCCTTTTCTTCAGTAAATAATTTTTTGAATGAGCTAGTTTAACAACAGGTTTGCTATAAAAAAAAGAAAAAAACATTGATAAAGAATGAACGAATGATGCATATATAAAATTCCAATACCACTACTAAGCCCTCATTGACGATCTCCGAGATTCGAAAAAAAAATTACATTCGAGATACTCGATATCCCGCCTGATTCACAACAAAAATATATAAATTGGCTTATTAACTTACAATAAGGCATTATTTAATGTAATTGTACGGTAAATGATACATAATTATGATAATTATGATAATTATGCAGTCAATGCAAATGCAAAAAAAATTATTGTTACAATATCTTTGACTTACACTACATTACACCCAATAGTTGTTAATAATTGTCACACATCAAATGTCATATAAGATGATCGCTGTAACTTTTTTCATCAACGATGATTATGGCACGATCTCAAATCTTGACCCCATGTCTTAAGCACATTTTAATACATTTAGAACCTGAAGACGTAGCTCGTTGCGCTCAAGTGTCAAGGTTCTGGAGAGATGCCTGTTATTCCGATTCTTTATGGAGAAGATTTTGTGAAAGAAGGTACTATTCTCTCTTTTTTTTTTTTTTTTCGTTTGTTTACTTTTGGATTATATAACCTTTCCATTTGGGGCCTTTTCAATATACTTTGTTTTATTTATAAATATAGAAAAAAATTGTTCAATCTTTTTTGACTTTTTTGACTTTTTTATGTTTTATTTAAATAGATGGAAATATTGGAAATCAAAACCCAAAAAAGCCGAAGGGTGGAGACAAATATTTATAGCCAGGCAAACAACTGATCGTTGGGCATTCGAGATTTTGGATGAATTGGCTGCTGGTGGTCCTTATTATTTATCAAATATGAAAAAACTGAGGCAATTAGGTGATAATTGTCGAGACATATTATTATGGGTTATGGATAATCCTAATGAAGTAAGTTTTTTTAAAAAAATTTGAAATTCATTGTTTTTTATTCATTGTTAGTGATTTTCTAGTGATTTTCTAGTAATTTCCTAGCAATTTCCTAGTAATTTTAATTGATTTTGGGAAAAAAAAATTCTTTTATTATCGCGTAAAAAAAAAAAAAACAATTGAAAAATAATTGGATTATATTAGACGACTCTTACTCATTGTTACTTTGCAAAGCGAGCTCTTCAATTTATTCGTAGAAGTGAAATCATCCATAAATGGAAATCATGGCGTAACCGAGAGATAGAAGTTTTGAATCTCGAAGGTTTCGCTATGATGGCGACATTTTTTAACGAAAGAATTGATGTGGAAGATATATTACGTGAAATTGATGAATTAGCCATTGAATTTAATGCATTATGTCAAAATAATCCACCAGATTCACAATTAACTAAATTCCGTCGCCTGGCAAACTTTTTTGGTGCAAAGTATCCTTCCACTGCTTCCGTCCTTGAAATTGAAACTAAATTCTTATATTTGGTCGCACCTCTTTTGGAAACTAAACAGAGTAAAGCTTGTGTAATGACAGTTTTATTTGAAGCTTTGGCTAAAAAAGTTGGAATTGAGAATTTGGATATAGTTTCAGATCGTGAAAAATTGACGTTTAGGAGATACCATTTCATTCGTTTTAAAGATGAAGAGAATTCAACATTATATATGATGAATCAAGATCAAGATTCAAAAAGTGAAAATAATTTTGAAGAAGAAGAAGAAGAAGAAGAAAAGGAAGAAAAAGAAAAAGAATCAGATATTTATCATATTGATTTTCAAAAACATTCAGAAACTGGTGTACTCACGGTAGAACAATTTGATAAACATAGTTCAAAATATTATGGAGCTTATACACCAGAATATAAATATATTCCTCAACAAAAATTGTTTAGATTATTTTTACAAGATTATTGGATTGCACTTACTTCTATTCGTGGTTATAATCGTGATATCATATATGGTACAGCTCTTCAACTTCATTTCATTAGATCTCCGGAATATTTAGATTGTTCACTTGGAGATTTATGTAAACTCATGAATTTTTGGTGGTCATTTGTTGCTGCCAGATATAGATATCCAGAAGATTATGAATTTGGGAGATTAGCATTAGTAGAAATTGAACCTTATTTGGTCGGTTGTACACATGTAGAAGGAGATATGTGGTCAAGATTAGCTGAAGATGTTAGAGAAGATATAGAAGCATTAGAGGAAGATGATAATGCTGATTGGGATTATGAATCTGGTCAATCTCTAAGAGGACAGTTAGGAAAAAAAGATCCAAAATTTTATGTTGGTGACGTTGTAAATTTTAAAAAATTTCATAGTCTTGGTGTAATTTGTCGCTGGGATAGAGGTACAAATTCATTTATAAATAAATTATATATTATTATTATTATTATATATATATTTTTTTTTTTATTCTTTCATTTCTTTAATTTGTTTATTCATAATTATATTATATGTTAAAAAAAAAACGGTATTTATATTTGGGAATTCATATTTGGGAATTCATATTTGAGAATTCATTCATATTTGGGAATTATTTTATTTATTCAGTACATAATAGTGAATTAGCCGGAAATGTGGCCAAATTCGTATGGACGGTAAATAATAATATTTAATATTATTTTATGTTTATCTTTCCTTATATTATTTTTTTTTTTTTATATTTTTTATATTTATTATATTTTAATTTGCTAAAAATTTTCTAACCTTGGATTATATACTTTTATTCAGGATTTGGATTCACCTCGTAATGAACCATTTTACGAAGTGCTCACTCATCGAGGATCATTTCTTTACTGTGGACAAAAGACTTTAATACTAGAACCATATAATTCAGAACGATTATTAAGAATGGTTCCTAGCAATGTTTACGGGGACTTTCTTGGTAATGAGTCTGATTGGGAACTGGCTAAAGCACTTGGTCCTGTTACCACAGAATTGGTTGGTTGTTATTTTGAAAGATGGGATCCAGAAAGTTGCAAATATATTCCAAATGAAGTCACTTGTAAATGGTTCCCAGATGGTTAAAAATTAAAAATCTAAACGGTAAGATTTTAAATTAAAAAGTTTTTATTTCATTATTTTTTTTTTTTTTACAATTACAAATAGAAATATTTAAAAAAATATTTTTTGATTATTAGAATATATATAATTCATATAATTCATAAAAAATTTATTGGCCAGAATTCTTTTGCATACACACAATTTTGGATAAATTACATCACGATGAACAATGGGTTTTGTTTTTTTCTTTCATCATTGCATTGTACTAAATTTTCGATATATTTTTATTTAGTATTTTCAGTGGACTCTTTCTGTACGTTGGTTGTTTCATTTCTTAATTAGAGTTTGTGACGATTTCCTTTTTTTTTTTTTATTTTTTGTTTAAAATTCAATTCAATATTTATATTGACTTTATTTTTCGCGATATCCTTTTTTTTATTAGTTTTTCACGTTTAAATTCTTCCTTTGCACACATTTTTTATTATCATTTTTTCAAATTTCGTATGAAAAAAAAAGAACGATAAGAACAAAGATCGATATAATTTACAAATCTTTGTTCAAAAAAAAAAAAAAATCGAAATTTTTTTTAATATTCCTCGAAAATTTATGTTTTTATTCGAATTATATTTCCTTGTAAATATTATACATATAAAAAAAAATCCATGTTCTTTTTTTTTGCAAAAAATAGAACCATATATTACAATTACCATAAAAATTATTATTATAAAAGATACATTTCTTCTTTTTTTTTTTTAAAAAAAAAAAAAAACAAAAAAATTAAGTAACATAAAAGTTGTAAATGAAAAAAAAAAGAGTTTAAATAAATATAATATTATGAAGAGAGCATTATTTGTATTTATTTTATTTAATTAATTTAAATAAAAATTCATTGTGATTATAAGATTCAAAAAATAAATAAATAATCTTTTAATTTGAAATTCAAACAGGAATTGGTTAAAAGTGGTGAATTACAATGAAATGTGCGTTTGAGAAAAATCTAATGTTCAGCTTGCTGAGTTTTGTCCCATATGATCTGACCAGATTGAATACACACTTTGTTGATGAAGATAAATATTTGATTGTCATAATGAGTTGCTTCGTTGATACTGACAATATGATTAACATTAATTAATATGATTATTAACATGATTCTCTATTTATTAATATCAATTAATGATTCTTTATTTATATTATTACGATTCTCTATTTACAAAATGTCGAGTTGACTAAATATAGCACCAAATGTTACGCTTTCTCATAATCGAAATTTCTCCAATTTATCTGCAAAACTAACAACAAATTATAATAATACATCATCTAAAGTGATAAGCAAGGTCTGGATCGTTGTTTATATAATCATCATAATGAAAATGAAGTTCCTCTTCGTCTATATCATAAAGGTCATCATCACTGTCCATATCAAAATAGTCACGATCGTAATCATTTTCTTCATAATCATCAAAATCTTCGAAATCTTCGAAATCATTGCCATCGTCATCTTCAATTCCGCATCGTTCGGCGTATGATGTGCTAGAGTCATATTCAAAATCGCTGCTGTCATATGCTTGGTTATAATAGTCAAGTTTATTGCGCTTAATATAAGAATCATCCGAATCGTAATCTTTAATGAAATCATGAAAGGACATAGAGGTATCGAAGCAAACTTTCGTTATCTGTTTTTTTGCCTGTTGCAAGGTTAATCGATCAACATTTCTGCGCGAGGGTAAGGACAATGTGTTAAGGTGAATCTCTTTATGTTGACAAATGGCGTTTAAGTGTTCATTGTTAAACTTGGTGCATCTGGTAAATGAAAGTGATATTAAATTGGGTGCGAGATCAAGAAGTGCTGTAAGGGCCTCGACTGAAAATTTACAATCGACGTCGAATCCAAAATGATTAATCGTCGCAGGAAAATAGGAACCAACTTGACATAAAAATGCGTCAGCTTCAAACGATCTCCATCTAGTTCTTGGACCTTCGATAATGTTGAAACGTTCTAATTTTGTGAATGAACCAAGCAAGTCTAATGAACTTATAGGAAACAAATCATCGGTGTAGTTCGAGGCGTGACATCTACCCCAATAATTCCGGCAGTACATACGGATACTAATCTCATTAATATTTGGAGCTACAGAAATAGCCGCCTTCAGGATCGGATAAACGTTCAGATTATCGACAAACAAGCGTTGCAGGTAAGTAAAAGAAGTGTTGGCATTTGGAAACTCAAAAAAATTCCAAATTGATACATCAAAACTCTGCTGACTAGTGTAAAAACGATTCTGAAAGAAAGGTACAACCAGGTCGTTATCAAGTTCCTGAAGGTTGTTTCCGTAACTGACGATAACATGAGAGATATCTTTAATCAATTTCAAGTCGATCCTATCCTTGCTTTTTCCCGTTTTCACGAGCTCTGCCAAGTTGAATTTCTTTAGATATGCCAGGCATGGTCCATGAGTAGGTTTAGAAATAGTTTCGTCAAAAAAGAGTAGCAGCGAGTTAAAAAGCTTTGCTCGACGATATCTAGACTTGAAGACGACGAACGGGTCACGCCATAGCTCTACTACGGCATGTCGCCACCAGTGGCGGTTGACCAGAGCACAGGCATACAACGAATAGAGGTCTCCGCACAAATGTTTGAATATCTCGTCAAAACACAGTGTAGGCAAAGACGACGACATATTATACGTTCAAGAAAATGAGAGACCGGATTTTAAATACCAGGATAGTAGGTCAATAGTGACACCTTCCTTTTCAGGAAATATCAATTAAAGTTTTTTTATAAATTAAGATGGCAAAATTTTATTTTAAAAAAAAAATAAATACAATATTATCTTATTATATAAAGAAGTCATATAGATAGTGAATTCACTTAAAGTTGCTATCCGTGAGAGAAAGATGAAAAGGAATTGATTTATTACATAAATTAAATAAAAATTTAATTCCTCTCTTATTATTCACACTTTAGAATTGAAAAATGATATTCTAACATTTTACACCATTCATTCTTGTTTTTCGGAAAATCAAGCAGAATTTTCTCCATTTTTAAATTTTCAAAGAATTTACTAAGAATTTAATGGAATATACACGACAATTTTTGTTTCGACATTACCTTTTCAATTTAATATGTTCAAATTTCTAAATTCTGGAATATCATCATATAGAAAAAAATTCTTTTGAGCAAGTTTTTTTTGAACATGGTGGTTAGAAATTTATAATCTACTAGATCATGCGTATTAAATCGTATTTTATGATGACTTTTGTTAAAGTTTAAATTTATTACATACGTCATGAAAGTCTATATAATTATCTAAATACTACTTTCTTGCTTTATTTTTTTTTAATTCGTTTCTTTCTCTCTTTTAAGATTTTCTTTCTATCTGTAAATAAAAAAAATATATTAACGTATAAACTGCAACGTGTACAAGAAAAAAAGTAAAAAAAAAAACCCCCAGATTGGATATCTGAATCATATGATATAACGACAATAATTTTAATACCAAAATCTAAAATAATGACATACTGCGAGAATTGTAAAGTTTTAAAAGGTCTTCGAAACGAAAATAAAAATCTTATTGATGAAATTGCTAATAAAATAACACAAGTTGATCAAGAATATTCCAATACTCAAGAAGAAATTAGAAAAGTACAAATAGAAATACGTGATATCCGGCTTGATAAACTTCAAAACGAACCATTACCACCATTACCGAAAAAACAATTTCCTAGTTATCCTTATACTTCTTCATCTTCTTCACCAAAAACAACAGTAAAAGTAAAACCACCGACTACAACGTCACCATCAACAATAACAACATTGACAACATCATCTTCATCTTCTTCGACATCAACAATTGAAAAAACATCTTCAAATGATTATTCGAATGAAGCTGATGAAATAATTCCTATTGTTCGTAACGTACCAAAAAAACCTCAAGGTAAAATATACATAAATAAATAAATATATATATATATATATAGTAAATATATTTATAATTATTTATATATTAATTATTTATTTTTTGTTTAGTGCCCCGTCCAACCAAAACTTATCATCCGCAGGTACCTCCGGTTTTTTTTGGCAATATACCAAATAATGTATCAGAAAATGATCTTAGAGCTGAAATTGAAAAGAAATTTGGAAAAATTCTGGCAATATCGTTATTCCGTAGAGAAGTATGTTTTTTTTTTACCATTTAGATCAGATATAAATAATACGATTCAATTGGAGAAACCAAAAATATGTGAAATAACGTTAAACATTTGAAATACTCATTTAGGAAACAGCTATTGTGAATTTTGCAGATATGGAATCTTATTTTGAAGCTATTGAAACTCGAGTATTTGGTTTTCGCAGAATTAATTTATCGATTAAACAATAATACGTACATGTGTTGACTGCGCCATGTTGAATTCTTTAATAGTAATTTATATGATTTAATTGTAATTAATTAAATAATTAAAAAATTATGGTATCATTCATTAAAATCTTCCTCCTTCTCTTCTCCTCTCCTTACATAAACTTGTATTAAACGTTAATGAATGATAATACGAATGCAGTGTTGATGTTTTTTGCAAGTGCACTCAATTTTTCACAACATATTCTGTAACCTTAATTGATTTTTGATCAACCAAGCTTTCATTCATATTATCTGAATTAAACAAGGTAAACGACATTTTTTACCTGCAAGGTTACGCAATATTTTTCCTCCAGGATAAAATAAAATAAAAAAAATGAAAGAAAACGTAAATGAACTATCTTATCATTATTCTCTCGTTGGTATATGCAATTTTATGTGTTAATATGGTTATGAGTTTATAGAATGTTTATTATAGAACACTCGAGTAGTTATGTTATTTAAATAAAGTTTGACATTGATAATTCATTGGTTATAATTCAATAAATTTCGCGCAGGGGAATTATATCAAAAACTCCTGAAACTTTGATAAAATATTTAATATTCATTGTGCATAAAAAATAATGATTATGGAAATACAAAAAATCGTTAAAATTAATCTATTTAAAATTATAAGTACAATTTTGGTAAAAAGGCGCGTAAAGAAATCAAATAAAGAAAAATAAAAAAATGTTTAATGAAATTACAAGACTGTATTTGAAAAAAAAAAAAAAAAACGATATTTAAACAATAATTCAAGGTATGTGGGAAAATGTCAATTTATGGGAAAATATATTTCCTTTAAGTTGTATTATTATTATTTATTTTCTAGAAGAATAATGACAACAAATTTATTAAATTATAATCAACAAATAATTATTTATTTTCTGTTAAATTTTTATGTACCAAACAATCGATTTTAGAAACCCATTGTTTTTTAAATCAATAAACAAACCTCGTTTCTTCTCGCATTTCGTAAATTGACACTTGCTTACATTTTGTCCAATCGAAAAAGAATCATTCAGCACCATTTGTATCAAGCAATCAGAAATTTTTGTCCGGTAACGCGTTTTCATGCAATGTAAACTCGCAATGTCCACAAAATTCCTACAAAAGTAAACACTTACCAAACACAAAAAATCTTATTGGACAAAAATTTCTTCCCGTCCGGGAATAAGCGGAATAAATGATTTTAGGTTTCATTTTGTTTTTCGGATCTTGGTGATACACAACAACACAGCGCTATGCGTAAGCATTCTCACCCCACGATGTACTAACAGTGTATAATGTAAATAGTTGGTCTTACCGCTGTGTTACACGTGACATAATTATTTTATCAAAATGCATTATTTGGGCGTTAAAAGTTATCATTGACATTATCATTATCTCAACCATTAATTATTTTTTTTTTTTACGTGAAGTTACTTAATTTGGGAAAATATGAAAATAAAAATCTTTTCTTTATTATATACCTCTTTTATACAGTATATATATTAAGGAAAAAAAATTAATAAATTCGGTAATATGGTAATATTTCCGAATATTAAAAAAATTTACCGAAAATGCAGAAACTATTTCCTCATAAGAAGAAAAAATTATTGTAATTTAAATAAAATTTTATGTGACTAAAAATAGAAATCAAGGCGTTTTATTCAAATCATCATACAATACTGTTCACAGCCATTCACAGCGGATAAGATAAATAAACAAACATTTTTATAAGGCATGCGATGTTAAATTAAATTTCTCAATATATATGAATATTATGCAGTTTAGATATTAAATTCGCATTCTTTATAGAATTGATTTTTTATAGACTTGATAAATTTTCTTTATTCTCTTCATTTTTCTTATTTTCTTTCGATTTGTTGTCAACCTATCAATAACAATTTGTTGTCAACCTATCAATAATAATTAACTTAAATTAACTTAAAATAATTTAAATAAACTTAAATTAACTTTAAATAATTTGAATTAACTTAAATAAACTTAAATAAACTTAACTAAACTTAAATTACTTAGATTAACTTAATTGTCCCGATATTATAGTAAATAATAAAAATAATAAATAAAGCATTTGAAATATAGGAAATAATGTAAGAAAAGGAATAATGTAGGGCTTAAATGGCTTATTTATTTATTATTATGCATATTACAAAAAAGAATGGGGAAGAAGGGTCACTACTATAATAAAATATAATACATATACATGTAACACTAAATCGTAAAACCTAAAAGAATGTTTCTCTATTGGTTTGAATCTTGCGTAATTTGTTTGTCTTTTACATAAAATAAATATGATAAATATAATGATAACAATGAATATAAATAAATTAGGAATTATTATAAAATAAAATTATTGAATGAATAGAATTATTGTAAAATAACGATAGATTGTAATATTTAAGAGATTGGTATTTTGATTTCGGGTCTGCCCTATCAGATATGGCTCGCTTTCTTTCTGATCATCAGTAAAAACATTTTTTCAGGCCTCGTTAATCAACGTCTCATTATCGCGTCTCCAAAATCTCAATTATTTCATGTTACTACTAGAGCGTGATTATTGGTGTTTTTACGGATTATATCAAATAAATCCTTTCCCACGCCAAGAAAAGGATTAGACGTTGAATCTATGAACATTTATTTTTTTCTTTATAAAACATAAAAACAAAAAAAAAATTATTTGAAATGATCTCGAACATTGTCATATTATATTGGTGTGTTACTTAAATGCTGGCATTTTGTACTTTGGACATTTTAATAATGAAATTAATACATTATATATATATATATAAACAATGCAATTGGACATTTTAAATTGAATATCGTTCCCTCTTATATAATAATTATTATTAATATGAAATCAGTAAAGAAACCTAGAAAAGTTCACTTTTTTGTCGTCCTTTATATAGTGTAATTTAACATCGTATTTTTTTTTATTATTCGTTATATTTTTCTTATTTTTTTTTTTTGAACAGTGTTTCGCGCCCCTTTTTCGTACTAAAAACCCATCGAAATTTCTGGACCGATAATTCGAGCTCGTATAGAAAATCTTTTAGCAAAAAAAAAAAAAAAAATTATATTATTTTTCATAATCGCATCAAATTCAATTGTATTTGTATTATTTCGTCTAATTATCAGTTCTATTGTGTCACGTGTCATACGACCGAAGAAAGAAAGATTTTGGAAACCAACGAAAAAAGTTTGTGATGATGATGATTTTTCATATCTTCCATTTTCGGTATCTCTTACACATAGAAATGTAAAAAAAATTATGACTGATTAGACTCTTTAGACGTATAACTATTTTTTCATTTACTTTTTTTTGTCATTTACTAATAATTTAACGATCAACGCGTTGGTCCTTTATTTCTTAATCATATGAACAAAATTTAAGCATAAACTCAATATTAGTTTTTAAGATTAAAAATTTTCCAATAGAGATTAATTAAGAAAAAAATTCAAATTAAATTTTTTATCCGTTAAAAAACCGGTTTATTATTTAAAAAAAAAGAATTTTATATCGGGACGAAATTTTTAATATTTTATATATATAATTAGATAATTCGAAATCTCAACACAAACAATGTATTTCGTTGGTTTCTTAATTTAATAATATATATTTAAAATTAATAAAATTAATAGACTTTATTTAATCGAATTAAAAGATATTATAATTAAATTGTTTATTATTATCTATTAGTAGTAATATTATTGTCATCATTATTAAGAGAATTGCCACACGTAACTGAATATAAGGAGTTAAGGCCAAGGTTCAAATATGGTTATATCTCCCCCAGTGAAGATTAGAAATAATCTTATTATTAATCCATGCCTGATAATTTTTTTGTTTGTTATTTACTGCACCGGTATTTTTTTTTTTGATCAACTTAACTGTACGATTATCAAGAAAGTAAAATCTAGCATTGGGTTATTAGACTATTACTAATACTATTACACAGTTCATTCAGGTACATTCTGCATGAATTGGAAAGTTTAATCTTCCAATAATAATAATTATTATTGTTGCTATGATTATTATTATTAGTCAAATTGGAAATATTTATATTAAAGATCCTGCTAGTTGCAATAATACATAATTCGGGCTGTAATCCGTAATGCTGGCTGTAATCCGTATTCAAAAAAGGAAATGCAGCAGCCAGCAAGTAATTTTGCAAGTTATTTAATAAATTATCCTGGATAATAATAACTCTGCAAGACATCAAAAATTATTGATAGGTATTTGAGATAAAAAAAAGTAGATATGATATGAATAACAATAATCAAAAATTAAAAAAAATATATATATTTATAACATGAATTGGACTTTCTTTTCTAAACCAGAGCAAATTGAAAATTTTCAAAATTTCTCTATATATCAACTGATTATATTTAATAAAACAAGAGTTCAGGGTTAAGGGCATTTTTATTTAATTATTAGTCTTTGTATTTAATTATTTATAATTTCTTGTCCATGAATTTATTAAAATATAAGGTGTTTTTATTTATTCAGGTTATTGATTTTTGTGTTCAGTTAATGAATAATCAATAGGTTTTTTTTTTTGTGAATTTATTTTATATTATGCTATAAATGATTCAATTCACTCCTAATTTTTCGTATTCAATAATTATATTTGAATCAGTTTTGATTGAATCCTTGTTAAAAAAATAAAATCTTTTATTTCAATTTAATTTATACATAAATTTTTTTAGTACATAATAAAATTTATAGTATTAAGTATTTTTGTTTTTTACTGAGACATCTTTTTTGCACAATGTTTATTTTTTCTTATTTTTTATTTTAGATAATGTTTTATTGTTTTGCGTAATCATTTTATTTAATGTAATATAAAAAAATTTAATCTATCATAATTTTTTTTTCTTATATTTACATAATACTGAATGTAATTATATAATATAAAACAAATTAAATTTAATTTATGCATAATTTTTTTTTAATATGGTTATAGTTATATTTTTATCAA